GAGTCATTACATTGTTTGAAACATTAGGATAAACACTCATAGTTTCATACACTTATTGTAAAGGTCACACATGCCCAAGTGGTTACCTCTTTAAGTTCAAGCCGGCACCTGGGTATAACAACCACCATTTTCCGGTTGCAATTTTTTTTCCATACGGTATATATAGGCACATGCATTTACTCAGATTTTAGTGACCTGCCCAAGGAGGCCACCTGTCCAAAAAAAACACTTTATTAACCTCACTCCCCTTCTTGGGCATGTTTGACTCTATATGTTGGATGAACCTTAAGCTTGTGGACTGATACATTTTTACCCCCGGGGATGAATACCACAGAAGAGTTATGTTAGTGGTCGATGTTTGTGTGTTCACAGCTGTAACTCACGGTGGGCCAGGCTTTTAGCTAGGGGGTGTCCAGGGTGTCTTTTGGATGCCCTGTACTGAAAATAGTAAGAAATTGGACGCCCTACTTTTTGGTAGGACACCCTAAAGACGCCCTATTTTTTCCACTTCCAACCCCTGCCATGCACACATGCCTCCTTTCAGAATACAAAAATGATGGTTTACTGAAGGAAAAAAACTCAAATTCCTCAAAATGCAGAAAGTTGTGTTTGAGGGAATTATGAATGTCAAAAAAGCCCCCCTAAAAAGGTCACACACTGTGCGTCTTTGCTGCGTACAATAAAAAAATGGACACCCAACAAAAAAATCCTAGCTAAAAGCCTGCGGTGGGCTGGACAGATTTTTTTTGTCTCAATATATGATTTACTATTGGGGTCCAAATGATGCACATTGCTTTAAAATAATTATATTCTGTGTTCTTTAATACTTCAGGGGGGTCTGGAATCTCTAATTTCTTGTTTTCTCTTGCAGATTTTCTTTGCCTTCGACAGTCCGCTGACTGACTCACTGAGGTCATCTGGGGTGGGCGTGCACATGGCAGCTCTGGACAGCAGCTACTTTCTGGCCCAGATTGTACTGTCGGCGCTGATGGGGTACATCGTGCATCTCACCCACTCCGTCACCGCGTACATCACGTGTGCGGCCCTCCTCGGCGTGGCCGCTTGTTTCTCGTTGAGTAGAATTATCGTGACAGAAGAGGATCTCCAAACAATACGAACTGGCAGGGCTACGCCACGGGTGTCTCCCAGATCACAAGGCAAACTTAAGGGGGGTTCAGGGGAAAGCCATATAACCATATCCATATAGAGATTAATGCTATGTCTATGGTAAAAAATTCTAACGTTGTTGCAAAAGAGATGTCATTTGCAATTGTATTTTTAGACTTTGCAGTCCAAGTAAAGCAAAACCTATGCAGCAGATATGATGTACAGTATGCACAAATGTATATTTTATCTAGATGTTGCTTTTATGGTATATATCATCTTCTCCATTTGGCTTCCAGT